GCAAAAGGACACATGGGTGACGATATGCGAAAGACTTCTCTTGCTGCGGAACAGACAAGGTGCTTTCTAGTGACGGAATACAAACGGATCCACTTTATGGCGTAATGCCAAAAGGGTTCCTTGCGCGGCGGGATACACAAGGACTCCGTCGGTGGCGTACTCTTTGTGCGGCGGAAACCAAAGGGCTCATTTCGTGACAAGATACAAGATCATGTCTTTCGCGGAAGATACAAAAAGGATTCCCTTTGTGGCGGGGTGCAAAAGGATTCTCCTTGTGGCGGGACACAAAAAGATCCCTGCTTGTGGCGAAGCACGAGATGAGTTCTTGTGTGGCTGAAGACAAAAGGACCCCCTTGGCGACGGAATCTGAAACGATTTCGGTTGCGGCGAATTGCACGCGGACTCCTTGCGCGTCGGAATACAAATTGATGCCTGTGGCAACGCAATACAACAAATGTTCGTTTGTGGCGGTTTACACACATATATATATATATATATTGCGTAGCGCAATGCAAAACGATTCCTTGTGCTGCAGATTACACAACAGATCCTTGACGTGGCGGGTTACAAAGGGAGGAGGAAAGGACGGAGGAGACGAGATGAGGACAGCATCTTTGCATCCTTGCACCGATGCACCCGTATATAGCAAGGTTCCAAAGGACACGTGCACCCTTTGCGCCCTTGCGTTTCTGCTGGTTCTACCCCCCCGTCCCCCTCCTCCCCCCTTTGTTTCCCATCCTTCGTTTACTTCACAATGAAATATTACGACTACAACTCCCCCTCATCCCCTGAAGTTGTGCGGGAAACCTCCCACCCCCTCCGCGTGCTGCTTTTTACACGGGAATGTATCAAGAGTTTGCTTTCTCATGCTTTTTAAACTCAATCCGATTATTTTTCGGTATTTCAAAAGTTGTGCTCCCGGTGCAGCGTGGGTCTCATTTTCGAATCGGCGCTTCGCCTCCGTCGTTCAGACGGGCGCTCTCGCCCGTCTGCGCGGGCCACTTTCTGCTTCCGAATATGGCTTCGTTGTCGCCCCCCCCCCTCGTTTCCCCTGTTCCGCCTTCTCCTGGCCCTTCTGTCCCCCCCGCCCCTTCCACTCCAATTCCTGCTGATGTTGTTCTTCCCGCCCCTGCGCGGCGCACTTTCCTGACTTCTGGTCTTTCTTCATCGTTGTCGCCCCCCCCCCAGTTCCCCTCCTTCGCCATCCCTTGGTCCTCCTGTTCCTCCCGATCCTTCCGTTTCGGTGCATGCTGCCGCTGTTCGTCCTCAGCCCTTTCCTCCCGTTCATCCCCCTGCTCGCCCGCCGCCTCCTCCTCCTCCTCCTGTGCGCGCAGCTCCTTTTTTTCCGATCGCGCACAACACGAAGTGGCCTTTCTGTGGGAGTCGCAGGTCGACCATGACGCGCGCCCGTGGGTAGAGAAAAACCAGCGCCGTGCGAAGGGATGCGAAGTAGGGGTGGGATGTCTGATGAGGCTTTCTCTCTCTCTCTCTCTCCCGTTCCCTCTCCCCTCCCCCGCTGGGTCGAGGTCCGAAGGTCGAGGTTCGCGTGTTTGTTCCGATTCGCCGGCGGTGTTCTCGCCGTTCAATGCGCCCCTGCGTCCCGCCAAGAGAAATTCCAGTGGTGTCCGCGTCGCTTTGACTGGCCGCCGGAAGCCCGAAGTACGAACTGAAAGCCCGGATTCTCACCCCGTTGAGCGCCGCTGCGAATTCAAACCACAGAAGCCAAGGAGACAAGCCAACGCGCGAGGCCATCAGCCTTACCGTTGCCATTACCGTCGCCCCTCTCTTCATTAATCCCCTGCCTCCCTTTGTTTGTCGCGAACGGGGCGCGGAGATTTCGCGCGGCGCGCCGCGAAGCGCAAATGCGCCCACTTGGGCACAACACTTCAAACTGCCGCCGCTGCAACCAGAAAACATGAAAACATCTCCGCCGCTGCGATAAGATATGTTAGAAATGGCAGTCAACACGTGCGATCGCAATACGTGTCGTCATCATTATCTCCGTTACGCCAACTGCTAGTAGGATAACCAATGTTAGTTTGCGGATAACCTTAGCTGTGGTGGCATGACAACGCTAGGAGTGATATTTGGAGCGGAGGGAAGGACAAATCACATTCTGGCTGGCAAGGACCGTGGGGCAAGCGGCCTAAACTTCAAATCTGACTCTGGGAATCCAATCATCAATGCTGATGCCCCATCGAAAGCAGAGAATGCCGATCTACCCATATACGCGTGGCTGAAGAACCAGTGGCTGCTGGATTGCATTCTTAACGGGACAAGAAGTTCATCGATGAATACTCAAAGATTTCGAACAACCGACCAAATACATTTTACGGAAACAACGAATTGAGAAACCAATGGAACGGCGCATACAATGACAACGTAAAAACTTTGATTGCAGTACAATCAGGCGTTCGCCAGATACGATTTCCTTCTGGCCTGTCGAGCTCGTGGGAAGCGGCAAACACAATGCAGTTGGCGATCGCGCCTGTTGGTGGTAAGTGGCACATCCTCGAACGCATTGTTTGAGGAACAACAGGAACTTGTCGAAGTACACAGAGTACTGGCGCAGGGCGCAGTCCATTCCCATTCCTGATTCCTGGTGGCCGCACAATCCGTGCAGCATTCCCAACGAATCGAAGAACGTCGGGGGCTTCAGGTTCGCTGCGGCGCCAGACGCTAATGAAAAAATGGCCGTCGACTTCAATAATTTCTCTGCCACTTCTCAATTCATGCGAAAGATGATACCTTTCTCGGACGATAAAGGAACATTCGCCGAGTGGGTAGATGCATGGACGCGAACACCAACAAAAACAAATTCTAGGTTGGCGGGGGAAAACACAGGTGGTGGGCCGGATTGGTGCGCAGGAGGTGTTCTAAGTGCCAAAATGTTTGACTCCAACTTCACCACGCAAAGAGATTTGAAGTCATGGTTCTTGGATTTGGTGATCTAGGACAACATTGCCATGCACTGGGTGCACGGAATGCCGTGGACTGGAATATTTGATGACGGGAAAATCTTGCGCGCGAGAACGCACGGATGTATGGTGTCGGATCAGCGAACAAGAGAAGAGCGACTCGCAACCTGCTGTGGCGACCGCCAAATTCCTCGACGTGTTCAGGGGCAGAAAGATTGCTTTCGAGCCTTCTATGCTTGCCGATGGTAGGTGTTACTCACTTGGTGCTGACCTAGTGAAAGCGTTGTTGTACCCCGCAGAGGTTGGCGCTCCTCTGTGGGCCAGGTGCGGCGGATCCGATCTCGATATGCATTCGTGTCGCCAAGCGGTGAGCCAACAGTACGACGCCAAGGTGGCCAAGAGACTAGCAGGCATAGATCGTATTTCTGACATAGAAAGGGAAAGGCTTGTCAAGCAGTCGGTCGATAAAGAAGCGGACGAAGGCAGACAGGCGTCGTTTTCATACCATCGTCTTCGCTCGCCAGGGCATCTGGGTAAGGTTTCGGGTCGGATTATGGTCAGGGTTCTGGGCCAGCTTCTGAAACGGTTCCAGGGCCGGCTTATGGATAGGATCCTGGGTAAGATCCTCGGTAGGATTTCAAGTGGGATTATGGTCTGGATTCTGGTGAGGATTCTGGGCAAAATTCTGGGTAGGATTCGGGATATGATTCTAGGTGGGATTATGGGGAGGATCCGTCGAGAAGCCATACGCCATTTGGCGCGTGGACGGGGAAAGTGTGACTGCCAATGAAGAGGAAGAGGGACACATCACAGAACAAACAAATGCATCCAGAAAACTATGTGCCCCACGAACGCGCAGCTGAAAAATAAGAGGAGACGCAAGAGGGGATTCTGGCTGGGAGTATAGGTCGAATGCTGGATACGATTTGGGGTCGGATTCGGGGTAGGATATGAATGTGATTATGGTTAAGAGTCTAGGTCGGATTATGAATGTGACGTTCTGGGTGAGATAACGAACAGCAAAACGGAAAGGGCCCCAGGGTTCGCTCCAAGAGCAAGCCATTGAAAAGCAATGCCTCTCCAGGGATAGGGCAAAAAGTAGAAAAGTCGGAGAGACGTTGAAGCAATGAGAAACAAACAAGAAACACCATGTGTAATGGTACGAACAACGGTGGACGACCCCCCATCCAACCACGATTGGTTTGGATTCGTTGTCACCCTCCCTCCAGAATAAGCCACTCGCCCTCCATCCTTGACACTGCTGCAACATAAAAAAGGATTGTGCGCGGCACTAGCAAGACACACGTGTTGACCACCACCCGCCATCCATCCGTGACATGGTCGTCCATGTTAACCTTCGGGACCAGAAGCGGCGAGGAAGTCTGGGGCGAAATGCCCAGACCGCCCTACCGACACGCCTGGGAGTGCGGCAGGGGGGTGGATAGTTAGAAGGAAAAGGGATGGAGGAGGAGGAGGAGGAGGAGGAGGAGGACGACGACGACGCGAAGGAGGGAGGGAAAGAGAAGGAGGACGACGGGGAAGAGGAGGAGAAGGAGGAGGATGACGATGGGGAGGAGGGGAGGGCGGAGGAGGAGGAAGAGGAGGAGGATGAGGACGACGACGACGACGACGACGGGGGAGCGAGATAGGAGAGAGAGGAGATGATGATGATGATGATGATGATGATGATGATGATGATGATGATGATGATGATGATGATGTGATGAATTGAGAGGCGGGCTGAGATGCTGATGGATGATGATGATGTGCTGATGAGTAGGAGGAGGAGGAGGAGGGAGGAGGAGGAGCGGAGGAAGGAGGAGAGGTAGTAAGAAGAGGAGGAGTAAGAAGAGGATAATACTAAGAAGAAGAAAAAGAACGAGAAGGACAGTAGGAAAAGAGGAGGAGGAGGTGGAGGAGAGAGACGAAGAAGAAGAGGAGGCGGAGGCGGGAGGAGTGAGCGGAGGAGGAGGAGGAAGGAGGGAGGAGGAGGAGGAGGAGTGCCCGTAGCCCAGGAGGAGGAGGAGTGGAGGAGGAGGAGGAGGAGGAGGAGGAGGAGGTGAGGGCCAGCGAGAGGAGGGCCTGCGCCACTTCAGCTCGAGGTTGGGCAGGCCGTCCTCCAGAGATGGTTCACTCCCGCGCCCGTCGCGCCGAAGCGGCGCCATCCATCCCTCTCTCTCCCCCGCTGGTCGCTTCCCTCGCGGAAGTCCTTGACCTTCGCCTTCTCATCCTAGCATCCTCCTCCTCCTCATCCTCCGAGGATCCGACTCTGCCTCACCAGTCAGGGGCCACCTTTCACCTCTCCTTCTCCTCATTTTCCCCTCGTCGTCGGTCCTCCTCCTCCTCCTCATCCTCCTCATCCTCCTCCCTCCTTCCTCCTGCTCCTCCCCATTCTTCCTTTCCTCTACTCCTCCTCCTCCTCCTCCTCCTCCTCCTCCTCCTCCTCCTCATCGTCCTCCTCCTCCTCCTCCTCCTTAAACCCTCCTCATCCTCCTTTTCTTCCTCCTCGGCACCCGCCCGAGGCATTGAGGCAGCTCGCACCATCGACTACTCCGTGGTCTTCAAGGCGCTGGGGGCTGCATAGTCGGGGTCCGTGCCCAGCCCGACGCGCCGCTGCATCCATTTGCGCCCCCGTCTCTCTCTCTCTCTCTCTCTCTCTCTCTGCAGCTGAATGGCCCGCAGAGACACAAAATAATCCAAATGCCAGTCCGCTTCAGGCCCTTCGACATTCGCCCGCTGATCGGCCCCAAGCTGGACGAAACTGCCCGTCGACTGAGTTGGCCTGCGGGGACGCGTGAGGTGTGCCCGATCGAGCAGACGGTGCAGAGGAGTGGTTCAACTTCGCTGAGCACAAACTGCTTCGGGACCCGGGCATCTCTCTGGGCCCCGAGAGGACCGCACCCTCGACGTGGCTCGGCGTGCACGGCCTGCTAGAGAAGGCCGCCAGAGCTGAGTCTGCCCACGCGGGGGCTCGCGGCAAGGCGGAGCTGGCCGAAGTGGAGGATTGGCGGCGAGCGAGGGGGGAAGTGAGAAGGAGAAGACCTTCTCAGAGGGCGCGATGGCTTCTGAGAAGTCCCGCCGCCTTCTGAGAAGTCGTCTGTTGTCCTCGGGGAAGACTCAGAAAACTGCTCAGAAGGCCGGGGGACTTCCGAGGCTTCTAACCGCCGATGCATCGCCGATGCATCGGCGATGCGTCGACCGCGTCGGCGATGGGTCGGCCACGTCGGCGTGGAGACAAGCGGGCTCCAAATCGAGCCGCATCGCCCATGCATCGGCGATGCGGCGCGATCCTCCGACCCCATCCACTCCGACCCCATCTGGGAGGCCTTAGAGCATGTGCGCGAAGGAGCTGCCAGCCGGCGCGGGCCCCCGCACGCGGGCTGGCCGAGTGGGGCCAAGTCCCGCGCGGGCGACGCGTCCCCCCAAAGGCTGCGGTCGAGGCCGCACAGGGCCCGCTGGTGCGGCAGCCGCCGGGGCTGCAGGGGGCCCGCCTGGGGCCGGTGACCTCACTGGCGCTGCCGAGGCGCCTGCTTGCGAGCAGGCACTCTGCGAGTTGCGGAACGCGATCGGCGATCCTCCTCCTCTTCCTCTCCTCCCCCTCCTCCTCCTCCTCCTCCTCCTCCTCCTCCTCCTCCTCCTCCTCCTCCTCCTCCTCCTCCTCCTCCTCCTCCTCCTCCTCCTCCTCCTCCTCCTCCTCCTCTTCCCTCCTCTTCCCTCCTCTTCTCCGCTTGCGATGTCATGGAACGGGCTCGGTGCCCCCAGGTCACCGAGCGCCGGCGCGTTGCGGGGCGCTGGCGAGGAGGCCCTGCCGGCCGGTGGCCTGCTCGAAGCGACGTGAAGAGCTTCCGAGGCCGCCGAGCGCCAGCGTGCTGCCGGGCGAGGCCGAGTAGGAGTAGGAGTAGGAGTCAAGCTAGCCAGCTCGAGCGTGTCAAGCATGGCATGCCCAGTCCCACCCGCCCTCCCACAACAAAAGAAGCAAAGCTGGCACAACTGGGGGCCGAAGTCACACCGGCCAGCCGGTTTGGTACAGCTGATGCGGCCGCGATGGCGGTTGCCGACGGGAACTGGCGAGCGCGTGTTGAATGCCGCGCACGCATTGCCAGACGAGTCGAGAATGGCCCGGTTCACCGCAGGAAGCCAGAGGTGGCCGGAGGAAGCCCGACGGTCTGACAGGACACCCCAAAGCATTTTTGTGAAAAAGCATTGGGTTTTTGATGTTTTTATGTTGAAATGCTTGCAACCACACGGTGTTCGGTAGGATTCTGACATGAACGCGCGAGTGTGCTCTTTGTGGCATTTTTTGCACAGGATTCGCGGCCTGGGTCCATGACCTGAGCATCGCGATTTCAAGTGCACCCCCCCGCGCGATTGACGTGAAATCGCGGGATTTGACGATTTTTAAGATGCTTTAATTATATGGTTTTCCTTAAATCTTTTATTTTTTTCCTGATTTATGATTTCAAGAAAGAGAGCCCGGGCGGGAAATTTTTACCAATTTTGTGAAAAAGCATTGGGTTTTTGATGTTTTTATGTTGAAATGCTTGCAAACACACGGTGTTCGGTAGGATTTGACATGAACGCGCGCGTGTGCTCTTTGTGGTATTTTTTGCAATGGATTATCGCCGTGGACGACAGGACGTCCATGTCGAGAGGAAAAAATAAGAAACATGTTGATTTTGTATTGTTTTTTTACAGGTTAGGATGGGACACCCGGATGCGCCCGCTATCTGCCGGCCTGAGGGTGGGGAGTAGGAGTATATTTACATAAGTAATAAGATAGGGGTAAAAAGTAGGGTAGGACGAGGAGGAGGAGGAGGAGGAGGAGGAGGAGGAGGCAGGAGGAGTGAGGAGGAGGAGGAGGAGGAGGAGAGGAAGGTAGGAAGAGGTGAAGGAGGAGGAGGAGGAGTGAGGAGGGAGGAGGAGGAGGAGGAGGAGGAGGAGGAGGTGGAGGAGGAGGAGGGCGGCGAGGGAAGGGAGGGAGGGAGGGAGGGAGAGAGGGGCGGGAGGGAGGAGAGAAGGAGGAGGAGGAGGAGGAGGGAGGAGGAGGAGGAGGTGGAGGAGGAGGAGGAGGAGGAGGAGGAGGAGGAGGTGTTTCCCCTCGCGAAGCTGCGCAAGGGGCTCGGCAGGCGCAGGGCGTTCAACGCGGCGGCCAAGGCAGGAGATTGGAGAGCTTGGGCGACTGGCAGCACCTGTGGACTCGCAGGGCGCGCGGGCGATGCTCCACCCCTCCCAGTAGGACGTCGGCGACGGGGAGCTCCCGCCCATCGCAGTAACGGGGCGGATAGACGCCTGCGGCAGGTACACCAGGTCTGCCGGGCTGAGCTGGGACGGGCTCAACCCGAGGGCGCTGCTGCAGCTGAGAAGCGAGGCCCTCGAAAGGCCCCTCGACATCATCGCAAGGCTCGAGGAGCAGCCGGGCGCCTTCCTGGCCTTCCAGACGCAGACGGTCTTCATCGCGAAAGCGGGAGGGGGGAGCCCGACCAATTGGGCTCCTTGCGCCGTTCCCGCGCCTGTGGTCCAGGCTTCGGCAGCCGCCGTGCGCGGCCGCCGAAGCTGCGACCACAATGATGCCTTCTTCTGGGGCGGGTCGACTCTCACCAGCTGCGACCGGGCTGGCTACCCTCACAACCTGATGGCGGGGTTCGGGCGCAAGGTCGGCTCCTCGTCCACGGCTGTGGGCCTGGACCTGCAGCGAGTCTACGAGAGCGTGAGGCTCAGCCAACTGCTGGAGGCGGCCAAGATGCACCACTTTCCGCTCAAGGTGGCTCGAGGGCTGTGTTGCATCTATGCCGGCTGGCGAGTGGACCTCTCTTCCAGGGATGAACCTCCAGGAGCTTCGAGGCGTGGGCGGCCATCGTGGCGGGCTGCAGTGGCGCCACGCTGATAGCCCGTATCCTGGCGAGCGCAGTAGGCCCATGTGTCTCCCTCCGCAACGTGGCAGATGATGCCCTGAGGGAACGTGACGGGCACCCGCCGCCTGGTGGTGAAGCAGGCCACCGCCTGCTTGGACAGCCTGCTGCGCGACTTCGCCGAGCTGGGGCTGCCGCTCGCTCCTGGCAAGGACAGGCACGCGCCTCGCCTCCGACGCGGCCTTGGACGAGGAGCTCCAGGGGTCCTGGAGCCCTGCCTGCGTCGGCGAGGGTGGCCACCGTGACGACGCCGGGCACCAGCCGCGCCCTCTGCGCCTGGCGTTCGGTCGCCGCGCAGGCGGCCCGGGGGAGCGGAGGCCCGCGAGCGCAGGGGGGCCCGCCACGCGCACCGGCGGCGCGGAGGCCTGGGCGACGCAGGCATGCCGCAGCGCGAGGGGGCCACGCCCTCGGGCGCCGGCGGGGCGCTGCCGCTGCAGGCCTGGCGGGCGGGCCGCTGCGCGGCCTCAGGGTCCAGGCTGCAGCGGCGGCGGGGCGGCTGCCCAGGGGCTGCTCGCTGGGCCTGCGGCTGCACGCCCACCGCCAGGGCGTCATGCTCGACCCGCTGGTGCGGCATTCCACGGATGCGCTGCTCCTGTGAGCGATGGCGGTCTGCCTGGCGGGCGGGCCGCTGCGCGGCCTCAGGGTCCAGGCTGCAGCGGCGGCGGGGCGGCTGCCCAGGGGCTGCTCGCTGGGCCTGCGGCTGCACGCCCACCGCCAGGGCGTCATGCTCGACCCGCTGGTGCGGCATTCCACGGATGCGCTGCTCCTGTGAGCGATGGCGGTCTGTCCAGGAGCAGCAGGCGCAGGGCCGCGCGCTGGAGGTCACCCGGGCAGCCGCTGTCCAGCCTCGCGCACGGCGTGCACGCCCGCGGGCGCCGCCCTGCTGGCAGCCCGCGGGCCGGGCTGGGAGTTAGAAGGGACCCTCGCGTTGCGCAGTGACGAGAACGTAGTGCTCGACCTGCTGCATGCTGGGGCCTCGCCAAGCGAAGGAGGAGGTCCAACGCGCCGCGGTGCGGGCCTCCAACAGGCTTGGGATCAGGGTCACTGGCAAGACCCTGGCTTGTGGAGTGGAAGCCCTCCCCAGCTGGCCGATCTTCTGGGCGACGCTGCGCAGGCTCCTCAGGCGCAGGACGGACGTCTGAGGCAAGAGGCAGCATAGGGGGCCCTCCGCGCCTGGCCACCAACGCTCGCTGGCCCCAGGCGCGGCT